GCAAAGAGGCGGAGCCGTGGCGGAGACGAGGCGGGACAGGGCGGGACCTTCTGCCAACGGCCGTCAAGTTCCAGACCTAGCTCAGGCTAAGAAGCTAAGCTAACATGCTCACAGTATTAAGCTAACAACCCAGCTTCCGGTCACTGCTCCTCGTTCCCGGCGTTCTGAAGGTAAGATCCCCTGTAACTTTACAAAACTTGTCCTTTTGATTTAAATGTTCTTGAACCTACACTATACAATTGTTTTTTAAGTGCTTCACCGTTTTTCAGATATAAATGTCATTTGTAACAACTTTGTAAACTAACAGAGATATGGCCAGTGTTGCGTGAATTAGCCTATGGAATTAGCCATAAACTGTGGCCTATACAGTATGTAAAGGAATTAGCGTATTGTGAATTAAACAAAGCTTTTCCCTATGATTTAACTGTTCTTGATATTACACTATACAAGTTTAAAAACGCTTGTCCATGATTCAAATATAAACAGTGTAATATGCATGGGCTAACAAATGCAAAATTTGCATATTTATACTTTTTGACCATCAATTGTATATACATTTAATCCAACGTTACTGTTTCAACAGCGCTGTGAGAGTATAAATTAAATATGACTGTAGAAAAAGAAAGGCGCTTTTATATTGATTAAACCATTTTTATTTCTTTCAGCATTAAGAAAAAAAGATGGCAACCTCCTCCACAACCTGTAAGTTGATGGTCCTGGCTTACTTTACATGACTTCAGATGGTTACTATATATATATACGTCAGGTGTGATTTCATATGTTATGTTGTATGTTATTGTCAAAGGAACAAAATGAGCAACCCTTTATACTTAATTTGATATTCCTCATTATCTGAAGCATTTGTTACTCTCATTTATTTTCCTCCCATAGTGACTGTATGGATAATCGGAGACAGCTATGTCCGGCGTGGAGCCCAGAGAGCTACAGAGACCATCGGCAGCAACCTTGGCCTCGACCTTCGCGCCTGCTGGTTCGGTTGGGGTGGACTGCGCTGGAGAGGTCTCCTCCCCTTCTTTTCCAACTCCCTGCGAGGAAGAGCAGCCCCGGATGTCCTCCTCATCCACTGTGGCGGCAACGACTTGGGGGATGTGCCCAGTGTTCACTTGGTGAATCAGATGAAGGAGGACCTGCACCAGCTTCACCATCGGCACCCTGGCATGAAGATCATGCTCTCCCAGATCAACCAGAGGTGCCGATGGAGGGCTGGTGCAAATCCTGTCAAAATTGACAAGGCCCGGAAGTTTGTTAACAGTGTTATGGCTTTTGTTCATAGCCTAAATGGTGCCATTGTTGACCACTCCAACATTAGACATGACAGTCCTGGGCTTTTTTTGCGAGATAGAGTTCATTTCACCCCTAGGGGAAATGATATTTTTTTAAAGTCACTAGCCAATTGCCTGAAAGACCATCTCCAAAGACTGTGAACTGCTAAAATGTCAGTATCACTGTTTTTGGATTTGGCCTTTAGAGTATGTTTTCTAAGGCCCTTGCTAAGCCCAGACTGTCATGGCTAATGTTGAGTTAGATATTACATCTGTAGCCATAACACTGTTAACATGGCTGCTCTTCCTCTTTTTAAATTTGTTATTATGTTTTTTGTTATTTTATTTGTTAAAATAATTCTGTAAATATTTAAAATAAATCACATTCATATTTTCACTTCTTTTGTCTACTGCTTACTGAAAATGTTAGCTATCACATCCAAATCTGACTATCAAATGAAAGGATAAGCTAACCATACAATACAGAAAACATTACACATTAAGGCTCAAATCTTTTCCCAAGCCGTAGCAGTCTGAAAAGAGTCCCAAGTTTAAAAACACAAAATCTTGACAATGAATACTACCTTGTCATTTATCAGTGACAATGCAAACACCAAGAAGGTCTCCCCTAATCCCATGTATTTTGGCATCAAATATGTCATAAGCATACCATAGAATGTAATTATGAAATGCAATACCCACAATCCCTACAGGGTCGTAACATCACAGAAAATAATACCTTTTAGAGAGTTTCTAAATTGTTCAGTATGCAGATAATTATTTGTTTTACAATAGAAACATTTTTCTCAATAAATGTTCCCACATGTTGTGAGCATCAACTTTAAATCTTTTGTCAACAAATAAAAAACATCTTAATTTCCTTTACGACAACATTTTGTTTATAACACCACTACATTAACAATAAGCATAGGAAAATTATAAATGTATAATTTAAGATTGTGCTTTTACTCTATATTTAATCCGATCTATTTCACATTGAAAATGTACGACTTAAGTACACTAGAAAATAAATTAAAGATGTGCAACAACTGTATCAGTAATTAAAATGATATAACTTATGTACAGGGTTGGGAGGGCTACTTGCCAAAAACGCAACCAGTAACTTAATGTGAGTATCAAGATATAAAAGTAATGTACTGTAACCTGATAACTTTATTTTTCTTTTGGATTACCTCAAAATCAAATGCAATGCAAATAAACACAGGAGAGAAGAAATATTAATATGATTTTTTTACTTAAATGTATAATATACATAAAGCTGACTCAGGCAGTAGGTGTATAGATTCACAATTAAAGTATTAGCCTACAGAACAGTACCGCTTCCAGAGAAGAGAGAACATCTGATCATTTTACAACAAACACTATATGCTCTTTTCAGGTTTTGAATAAGATTGTAATCCTGAGTTTCCCTATTATTAAAAAAAGTCAAACTAATCCGATTACATCTTTTCCTATGTAACTAAGGATTACACTTTCCTTTTTTTCTATACGATCTTGATTCGTGTTGGATGTAATCCATTACTACCGTCCTAAGCCAATAAAAGTCATAACATTTGGAAAATTGTCTCAAGTTATAAATTATGCCTTCAATCTCTTTCACGTGGGGAAGACATCACATTGGCCGAGGCGTTGCAACTTCCCTCAAGCGTCCTACATGAAAGAAAGATCACATGTTAAAAATGTGTGCACAGACTATTCAGTATGACCCGTCTTAGTTTAAAGCCCACTCACCACGACAAGGTCAATCAGCAATTTTATATGTTCAAATGTCTACTGTGAAGGATATCATAAATCCTTAATGCAATCGAATGTAAAACAAAAAAGTTATGATTGATGAAAGTAGTAAATCGGTCAGATTTGACCCGAAGACAACAGGAGGGTTAATGCCATATTCACTTAATAACGCATGAACAATTTTTACAAATATTTCTATATAGTCTGTGTTGGTAAATGTCATCTAGGTTGCACATTTCCTGCTGAAATACATGCATACCAAGTTACTGCGTGGCACTTTGGTTTTGATAAAACAGTGTAGTTCCACTATATAAACGTTACATTCATAATCAAACGAGACAATCTGCAAGATAATGAGCTATTTGTTGTTATTTGTAATGCTTGTCATTCACACGTTAATAAAATAAAATAAGTACCGATACATAGCAGAACAATTGTGGCGATGTTCAGCTTAATAAGCCTTGTTCAACATAATTTATTTAGCTAATACTCCAGCGGGCTGCAGGCGAACCAAGTCTGCGTTTCGCTGCATTCCTTGATCTCCAGTTATAATGCCGGACTCCGCCGCCGGCCGAAGCTAACGGAGCCGCCGGGACGCGCTAGCGAGCTAGCCCCCTGCGGCTCCGTTAGCTTCGGCCGGCGTGGACTCCGGCGGCCACCACTGGGATAATTGGGTCCCCTTTTAACATTTGCTCCCGTTTAGCATTATGGGCGTCACAGCCATATACTATAAAAGGCTGAATCATAAACTAAACTGTATATATATATACACATGTATAAAGGGTTACGTCCTTAGCTGGCTAATAAGCTACATAATAAGCTACATAACAAGCTAAACTAACAAGCACACAAACACCTGCTAACGGGATTAACATGTATAATATTATCATTTTACTCACCGAAAAAAGCTGAGAGTAGACTTCTTGGAAGGTCTGTTAGTACATTCAAGCGCACAGCACGACATTTTAATTGTCTGGTATTTGTAACAATATTCCCTAAAAGGCACAATCACCACGAACACGGCTAAAGGGTCAAGTACAGTAACTACAACTAACTAACGTTGTAGCCTAGCAGAGTGGACAAATTGCTGTTAGCTGACAGTGAGGCACGTACCTGTCCATCAAAGTGACCACGCCCTAATTTATGCAAAAACTTTAAGACCTAATATAAATAAAAGGGTCGCGTTAGAAAACAATTCACTCACAGATTCATAATCACGAAGGTGGAATCTAACTATATACATAATAAAATGTATTTGAGCCAGGGCTACAAACGTTTTTTTTCTGCTGTGAAATTGGGCATTTTAACATTGGGGTCTATGGAAATTGCTCCTTTCTGCAGTCATCGCCTATCGCCCAATATATGAACTGCAGTTTGTGGCACTTCCGTATTGGCGTCCCGGCTCTTCCCCAGAGTTTGCCGCTTGGTATACACACACACATTCAATACATACATACAGTATGTCAAGGTAAACTTGCGGTTAACTTGCGGTCTGCTATGTGTGTCACGCTCGCGCACACAAGTAAATATATATGCACGTTCGTTTATCACAACGCGTCAGACACAAGACGCGCGTACATGATGATGTACATTCATTTATCAGAATCTGAATTTTTTTTTTTTTTTTTTTTTTATAATTTTTTTTTTTTTTTATAATGGGAAACAGGGTTCGGTCCTGATTGATTTGCAGTTCGGTCCGGATCTGGACCTTGGTCCGGAGTTTGAGAAGCCCTGCTGTAGAACATGTGTCAGTGTGATGATGGTGCTCCATGACTCATTTGAACTGAAGGAGCATATTCTCTAAAGTGAACTGTTGCTTTAACTCTGAATATGTGACTTCTCTGTATGAACGTGTTATTCTCAGCTTTAGTAAACTGGTGAAATGACTCCAGAGTGAGTTCACTGACGTGTTCCTGAGATGATAGAAAACTCTGTTTACCTTATCTTCTGATTTCTCCTCAGGACTCCAGGCTGAAGGAGAACACAACTCAACAGGTAAAGTGCTCAGTTTATTCACCCTGTTACTCTTTAAGTGATTACAGTCTGTAAACAACCTTTATCATAAAGCATGATGTAGTTTAAAGACTTCACCACTAACTGATCCTAGTTTCATCATTTATGATTCTACCATGTTTGTGAAACCAGGATATACTTCAGAGGTAAACAACAAACCATCATCACCTTTTCATCACCACCACTTTTCATGATTATACTTTATAAATACCATCAGATCATCACATTGAAAAGGAATCTAAATAAAAAGAATAAAATAAATCAAGATACTCTGCACTTTTCACGGCACAATGTCAGCAGGTCAGGTCCACAGCATTTCTGGAGCCCTCTCTCATCTGTGGCCCGTCTGGTCAGCTGCTGCAAAAGATTAGTTTGGAGACACAGAAGTCCTAGATTTCTTAGCCGGAGGAGGAGAGGTCGACCCTTCCTCAAGCTCCCTAGGACTAATGTCAAAATAATCTTCTAAATGTTCTGTAACATACCAGCGAGGTGGTTCCCTGTTATCCCCGCGGAGTCTCAGTGAGAGACCCGTCCTAGATGCTGGCAACAAATGATCAGATAACTCTTCTCTCTGATATGAGCGTCCATCACCAACCAACCACTCAACAGAACGTCTATAAAGGGGCTGAAACATTGCAATAGTAAATATCACACATTTTCTTAAAGATATTGTTACATCTACTTGGTTTTAAATTCATGACTACCAACCAGGAGTTGGATAAACACCAGATACAAAAGGAGTTGGTCAACATCTCCAAAGTGAGCAAACCTATTCTCATGACTTTTAGCAGTTAAAACCCTTCTAACATGATTCTACTTATTGAACTGCTCCCTGATAGGAAGAAACTAATAACACAACTGAACTCTCCTTTCTGCTCAAAATGGATAAATCAATAAACGACTCAGCGTTGGCCGATTGATAAGGCCATTTAGCCAGTTTCTAATAAGTACAATGGGGATAGCTAAGATCAAAGTCACAAATCCCCCATTCTTTAACGACTTTGGGGTAATCACAAATAAATAAAAGAATAGTCCAAATGATTCGAATCAGGATCTCTTGCATTGACTGGGATGAAGCATTCTCAGAGGTAAAGCTCTGTCTCTCCATTACGTACTGTCACTGTCTCAGGTCCAGAGAGTAGTGAGAGTATGTAAAGGCGGGGGTGCTGATCTCTATCTCGGAGCTGCATGTCAAACCACATCAACATCCGGTGCTTAGCCTGCAGCAAGGAGGAGAGGCAAAAGAGGAGGAATCTCCCTCTCAGCAGTTTGGAACATTTTCTTTATAATTGTTTTCTTAAGCAGCTTTTATGGATAAAGGTTTTTAGCAAAGTTGTGAGAGGAGGAATCATGTTGATCTACCGAAGCCAACCTCTCCATCTCCCCTGAACAACAGGACTCTCCCTCCCTAAATGTCTTCCTTTGTTTAACTCTCTTGTTTTGTTAACCCATGACCCAAAAAGAAACATGTACATTTTAAGATTAGCCTTAGTAGTTTAAGGGCCAGCCAAATCATCTTAAAGGTGAATTTGATCAGGAACAAACATAATGTTGTGATGTAAAGTAGTGCAGTCCAAATCTGAACAAAACACCTGAAACTATCGCCACAGCTAGAATAATAAGAAAAGCCAAAAGTCCCCACTCAGCTTTATTGAAAGCATAGAACATGTTTAGCCGTAAATCATTCACAAATGTCTTCTTAGTTTGACCAAAAACAGAATGCATTGGATCCTATATTGAACTAGCAGACAAAACTGCTCTGAACAGAAAAAGTCAGATGGGACTCGCAGGTCCTTCATTTCTCCCCATCCCACGTGCAATGACTTTGTCCCTTTTTACTGGAGATTTGTAATAAGATGCAAATGTAATCTTAAGTCAAATCGGTAACACTTTACAATAAGGTACACAAAATGTGCTTAGTTACTGCTTAGTTACTGAGGAACTACTAGATAGTTAATGGTTAGTTAATGAGTAGTTCCTCAGTGACTGCGATGGATGGTTAGTTAGTTACTGGTAAACAGACTGGGGGTACTGTATTAATGCAGTACCCCCAGTCTGTTTACCAGTAACTAACCATCAGTTCCTCAATCGCAGTCCCTGAGGAACTACTCATTAACTAACCATTAACTATCTAGTAGTTCCTCAGTAACTAAGCAGTAACTAAGCACATTTTGTGTACCTTATTGTAAAGTGTTACCCTCAAATCTACTATACGTCAGTAAGTAAAATGTACTTACAAAAACTGAGTGTGACAGTAAAGTTGACTTAAGTGCCTTTAGTAACAAACACTTCTTAACTGTAAGTAGAAGCTACTTGAAATATACGTTGTTACATGTACTTAGGTTTTCTGAGTGCGTTTTCTTACCTGGATTTTCCTAAATCTTACTCCCCGTTTCTGTCAGTGTAACCTGGAACTCCTTTTGTTGGATACATGTGATGTAGTAGTATTATAAAACCATATACTCCAGTAAAGTAATTCAAACCTGTACTTACAGTACTTGAGTATATGTACTTTATTACTTCCCACCATGGTTTATAGAGAGCTGGAGTTAATGATCTGATTATCACTCGGAAGTATTAATAGTATAAAAGATTAATTATTAAAATATGCTGATATCAATGAAGGACACGACTCTCTTGTTTCTCTTCAGAGCCTGGTGTTAGGCTGGTGGGAGGAGAGAGTCGCTGTGCAGGAGACCTGGAGCTGGAACATGAGGGAGAATGGAGACCAGTGGAGGGCTACTCTCTCTGGACCCTGAAGACAGCAGGAGTCGTCTGCAGAGATCTCGACTGTGGCTCTGCTGTTTCTGTGGGACATAGAGAGGGGTCCTCAGAGAGACCTGTGTGGTTCATCAAATCCTACTGTGTTGAGTCTGGATCTGCTCTGAGGGAGTGTGCAGTATCAAGTTCCTCTAAACACATCCTGAATGTCACCTGCTCAGGTAAGCCCATCAGTGACATCATCTGTGACATCATCAGTGACATCATCTGTGACATCATCTGTGACATCATCAGTGACATCATCTGTGACATCATCTGTGACATCATCTGTGACATCATCAGTGACATCATCAGTGACATCATCAATTACATTTTAATTTTTAATTTTCACTATTTAAAAATACCCAAATAAGAAATGATGAACAGTGTATGAAGCAGCCGGGCGTAGTGGGTGGGCTACTGGCTCTATAGGCCCACCCACTCATTCATCAACATTCACTGGGAGAAAATATAGTTTACCAGATTTTTATTTTTGATTATCAAAATGAATAATTCATAAATAAAATAATAGCAAAAATAAGTTTCCCTTTAAAAAATGCATACAATTAGAAGCAACATGTATTAACGTAATCAGGCTTCTGTTGTGTGAGAAGTTCTATCCAATCACAACAGGCCAAGGTAAAATGGCCTGTTGTGATTGGCCTACATAGCTCACATAGTCGAAGCGCGGCGCCAACACAACGTAGGACGTCCCACAGACCCCGCAGAGGAAGGAGGAAAATATAGCACTCGTTTACAGAGTCACAAGAATCCATGTTCAGAGTTTTCAAAAGAGTGAGAGGGGAGAGGCCAGAACCATCACCCTCACAGCAGGGGCCGTCTAGAGGCCAGAACCATCACCCTCACAGCAGGGGCCGTCTAGAGGCCAGAGCCATCATCCTCACAGCAGGGGCCGTCTAGAGGCCAGAACCATCATCCTCACAGCAGGGGCCGTCTAGAGGCCAGAACCATCATCCTCACAGCAGGGGCCGTCTAGAGGCCAGAACCATCATCCTCACAGCAGGGGCCGTCTAGAGGCCAGAACCATCATCCTCACAGCAGGGGCCGTCTCACTCCAGATTCTGCCTCTCTGTGCTTTCTGTGTCCCTAAAATGTATCAATGTAATGTGAACCAAAAGAAATGAACAAGCAGTGTTACATTTCATTTCACTCCTTGCAGCCTGGAGCACGGCTGATATGAAGAGTCATGAAACCCACCGGGTTATTTGGAGCCTCCACCTCTAGAATGATACAATTCACCATTTAATGGAAAACACGAGATCAATAAACAAACAGCAGCTTGAATTCAATGATGACGACATATTTAAGAACAAGGTGTTTACAAACATCAATCAGATAACACATGTGAAACACACATGTAAGAGTAAAGAATGAAACCTTTTGAAAGTGTGTGTGTGAGAGCAGAGGTGGAGCTGAGCAGAAGGAGCAGAGGGTCTGCAGAGGAGGATGCTTTGTTGAAGACACAGGGGAAGGGTTCACTAATGGAGACCACTTGCTAGAGGGTATCAGATGTAGATGTGAGGGTACCTGCAGTCTGTGTTCTTATAAACATGTGTTCTGTTGTTCATCATCAACTCATGTTGGAACTGAGTCCAGTTTGAATCTCTGAAATATAGTTTCATCTCTTTGATGGTGTGTCTTTGACCTCTGTTTGACCTTCTGTCCTCTGCAGACTCTGTCAGGCTGCTGGGGGGGACTGGTCTGTGCTCAGGCAGACTGGAGGTGAACTCTGACCCGTCTAACCCGTCTAACCCGTCCTGGTCCTCAGTGTGTGAGGCTGACTTTGACCAGCAGGATGCTCAGGTGGTCTGCCGGCAGCTGGGCTGTGGGGCTCCTTCAGTCCTCCAGGGGGCGCTCTATGGAGAAGGGGAGGCTCCAATGTGGACCAAAGAGTTCCAGTGTGGAGGCCATGAGTCTGCTCTCCTGGACTGTAGCTCAGCCTCAGAGAGAAACACCTGCTCACCTGGCACAGCTGTTAGCCTCACCTGCTCAGGTAGAGAAGAGCTGTGATTGGTTCATTCTGTTCTCATCAAACTCACTTTATTCTCTCTCTGATCTCTCTCTTGTTTCTCTCCAGAGCCTGGTGGTGTTCAGCTGGTGGGAGGAGAGAGTCGCTGTGCAGGAGACCTGGAGGTGGAACATCAGGGAGAATGGAGACCAGTGGAGGGCCGCTACTCTCTCTGGACCCTGAAGACAGCAGGAGTCGCCTGCAGAGAGCTCGACTGTGGCTCTGCTGTTTCTGTGGGAGAGAGAGAGGAGTCCTCAGTGAGATCAGTGTGGTGGATCAGATCTCTCTGTGTTGAGTCTGGATCTCCTCTGAGGGAGTGTGTAGCATCATCTTCCTCTCTCCACTTCCTGACTCTCACCTGCTCAGGTAAGCCCATCAGGGACATTGTTTATGACATCATGTCCTCTGTCTCTTTGTTAGTCTCTCTCTCTCTCTCTGACAAAGAGACTATCCCTCTCTGCTACCTGGACTGTCACAGACTGAAAGCTCTTTGTAATGTCTTCAAAGCGGTGTCTTCAGACTGAGAGGAGGTTTTCACAGAGACTGTTTTTATTGTTGCTGCTGGGGCAGCTCTCTCTCTCTCTCTCTCTCTCTCTCTCTCTCTCTCTCTCTCTCTCTCTCCTCCTCTCTTCTCTCTCTCTCTCTCTCTCTCTCTCTCTCTCTCTCTCTCTCTCTGGGGCAGGCAAACATGTGGATCTCCAAAAGCAGGAGCAACAGAGTAAACAGTACAGCAGCTCAGCAACTCACTAACATGTGTTTCTCTTGGTGAAAGCAAGAGGGAGTTAGATTTTAGATTTCACTCTCTGATGAGAAACAGCCAGTCTCTACGGCCAGGCTGTGGTCACTGAGTCTGTACATTGTTAATGTCTTCCTCAGTTTGGGATCAGTCACGGCGGTCAGATAGTTTGCCACCGTGTACTGTCTGTTTAGAGCCAAATAGCATTGAAGTTTGTTTTGGGTTTTCGTGGTACATGTCCAATAGTTGATGTAATTTTCTTTTGCTTTAGCTATCATTTGGTTGGGCCAGATTGTGTGAGGGCTGTCCTGAGGCCTTGTCCTGTTAGAGGAGGTGAGCCTCAGGACCAGCTGGTTGAGGCCTTGTGCTGTTAGAGGAGGTGAGCCTCAGGACCAGCTGGATGAGGCCTTGTCCTGTTAGAGGAGGTGAGCCTCAGGACCAGCTGGATGAGGCCTTGTCCTGTTAGAGGAGGTGAGCCTCAGGACCAGCTGGTTGAGGCCTTGTGCTGTTAGAGGAGGTGAGCCTCAGCACCAGCTGGATGAGGCCTTGTCCTGTTAGAGGAGGTGAGCCTCAGGACCAGCTGGTTGAGGCCTTGTCCTGTTAGAGGAGGTGAGCCTCAGGACCAGCTGGTTGAGGCCTTGTCCCGTTAGAGGAGGTGAGCCTCAGGACCAGCTGGATGAGGCCTTGTGCTGTTAGAGGAGGTGAGCCTCAGCACCAGCTGGATGAGGCCTTGTCCTGTTAGAGGAGGTGAGCCTCAGGACCAGCTGGTTGAGGCCTTGTCCTGTTAGAGGAGGTGAGCCTCAGGACCAGCTGGTTGAGGCCTTGTCCTGTTAGAGGAGGTGAGCCTCAGGACCAGCTGGTTGAGGCCTTGTCCTGTTAGAGGAGGTGAGCCTCAGGACCAGCTGGTTGAGGCCTTGTCCTGTTAGAGGAGGTGAGCCTCAGGACCAGCTGGTTGAGGCCTTGTCCTGTTAGAGGAGGTGAGCCTCAGGACCAGCTGGATGAGGCCTTGTCCTGTTAGAGGAGGTGAGCCTCAGGACCAGCTGGTTGAGGGGACTCCTCTCTATGTTCTCCTCTTGGCAATGGAGGGCTTTGTAATGGTAGGAGTTGGGATCACTGGTTTTTAGGTGGTTGTAGAATTTGACTGCTCTTTTTTGTATCCTAATTAAAAGGGGGAATTGGCCTAGCTCAGCTCGGCATCCATTGTTGGGGGTGTTCCTGTGGACTCTCAGGATGCTCTTGCATATCTCCGCATGTAGGGTTTCTATTGGGTGTTTGTCCCATTTATCAAAGTCTTGATTTCCAAGAGGACCCCACACTTTGCTACCATACAGTATGATTGGTTCTATTATTGAATTGAATATTTTGAGCTAGATTCTAACAGGTATATCTATATTTGAAGACTTTTTGATAGCATAGAAAGCCTTTCTTCCTTTGTCTCTGAGATCATTAATGGCCAGATTGAAATGTCCTGTTGAAGTAATTTTGAGTCCCAAAAATGTGTAGCTGTGTTTGTGTTCTATGTCAGTGGAGCCCAGTAAGAAGCGGTGTGGGTTCCCCTGACCCCTGGGTCGTTTCTGGAAAACCATAATCCTGGTCTTTTCCAGATGAACTGTCAGGGCCCAGGTCTGACAGAAGGTCTCCAGATGAACTGTCAGGGCCCAGGTCTGACAGAAGGTCTCCAGATGAACTGTCAGGGCCCAGTTCTGACAGAAGCTTTGCAGATGATCCATTTGCTGTTGTAATGCATCCTTAGATGGAGCTAGCAATATTAGATCATCTGCAAACAGGATTCATTTAATTTGTGTGTCAGAGAGGGTGAGTCCAGGGATATCGGATTGTTCTAATGATTTAGCCAATTGATCAATATAAATGTTAAATAGGGTGGGGCTGAGACTGCAGCCCTGTTTCACCCCTCTACTTTGGGGGAAGACATCTGTTTCCATATTGACCATTTTCACAGCACATTTATTATTTGTATACATTGTTTTAATGATATCATATGTTTTCCCCCCTACACCGTTTTCAATCAACTTCAGGAACAGACCGTTATGCCAAATTGAGTCGAATGCTTTTTTGAAATCTACAAAACAAGAGAAAATCTTCTTATTTTGGTGGACATGTTTATGAATGAGGGTGTGGAGGGTATATATATGGTCTGTAGTCCGATGGTGTAAATCCAATCTGACTCTTGCTCAGGACATTATGTTCACTGAGGAAGTCTTGCAGTCGGCTGTTTAGGATGCTGCAGAATAACTTCCCCAGGTTGCTGCTGACACATATGCCTCGGTAATTGTTTGGGTCAAATTTATTTCCATTTTTAAATATTGGTGTGATGATTCCTTTGCTCCAGATGTCAGGGAAATGTCCAATGCTCAGAACCAGGTTGAATAGTTTCAACATGGCAGTGTTGAACTTATGGCTGCTAAATTTCAGCATTTCATTTAAAATGCCATCAGGACCGCTGGCCTTCCTTGGTTGTAGGGCCTGGGTTTTAGCCAGGAGCTCTTCCTCAGTAATGTTATAGTCTAAAGCAGGGGTTTTCAAAGTGTGGGAAGGTGAGCCTCCCCTCAGAGAAAATAAGAACAGCCGCGCCCCCCCTCCCAATTATTATTGCTATTATTATTATTATTGTTGTTGTTGCTATATGCAGGGGTATTCAATTGCATTTCAAAGAGGTCCAGTAAGAGAACATGTCATTAAATGCTCTGTTTTCGCTGTCTACCTTCCACCATTTGAAATGACTCCGACTGTTTCTCTCTTCTTGTCTCGTCTCTGTGTGTGTGTTTGAATCTATCGTGCTGACTCACTGACTGCACTGATTTGATTGGTTGAGTAGCGTCACCTCCCTAAAACATTAAACAATAACTTTTTAAAACCTTTTTATCTTTATGTTTTGAACATATTGTATAAAACTCCCCCACTACTTGGACTATTCCTTGCACCCCTCTAGAATAAGCCCGAATGGTCTCAACCATATTGCATCAGTAACGTGCACTTTGTTGTTATAACAAGATCGCAAGGATACCGCGATAGCGGTAGCGATCGGACAATTGAGTGTTGTTCAGTTTGTGTGTTGTGGAACATGCGTGTGCGTGCATGAAAATATACCACACACCCAATTACAATTGCATGTTCAATTCATTACCCTGGAAGTTAATAAAGTTGTTGAAGTTGGAACAGCCTGTGGACAGCCGTTCTTCCTTGCATGTCAATCGCCGACACCTTCTTATGGCCCTGACACACCAGGCAGTCACCAGAGAACTCGCCGACACCCGACACAGACAGTTCCATCGACGAGTTCTCCTGCGTCTTGGCCGTGTGTCGCACTGGAAATCACCGCAAAGACTTCAGCCGAGCACGTACGAACTGCGCATGCGTGAGTGGCAATAACTCTCCTTACCAGCAGGCGGTGGTAGTGTGTATTCGTCATTCAAAATAGGCAACAACCGGAAGACAGAGAAGAAGAACAGACTGATATAAACAAACAAATAGCATGTGCGTTCCATTTTCACTCTCGTCCATCGAAAACATGTTTTAGAATATAAAAATACATGCATGATGAAATGAGCACATAAAGTGCAGACATACTATAAAATCACAGTTAATAGACCTGCATCTGATGATCGCAGTGTTCTGGCGGGTGTGTAGTTTATTGAGTCAGCAATGTAATAATGGCCACTTCTTGCTAAATTTACGATGAGATGAAAAACCGGACTTGACCAAACAAATCACGGAGCTCTCAGCAGAGGACAGCCGGGGACGCTCCCGCCGATATCAGAGATGTCCCTGCTATGTGTGGGAGGTAAGAGAGGACATTTAAGGGCTATGTTTGATGTCTTTAAGTATCACCTGCTGGGGTTTAGCTGCTGTCCTGTGCCTTAAATTGTTTGTTTACGTCCCTCACTTCCGTTTCGCTTCTCATTTGCTAGCTGAACAGCTGATCAGAGTGGTTTCTTGGCCCGATAGCTTGTGTCCGACACCCGGCCGATTCAACATGTTGAATCGGCCGGGTGTCGACCGTGAAAGGCCAAATAAGGCGTGTCACGGCCGAGGGTTCGGGACACACCAAATTGACTTTGGGCGACAAGGAACCCGTTGTCGCCAAACAACGCAAGACGGCCGATATCGGCCTGGTGTGTAGGGGCCTTTACAGAGGACAGGCAAATCTAGCTGCAGCACGACCCGTATATTTTCGCACACCGTGTTCTCAACACATATTTTTTTAACATTTTTAACATTTTCAACATCGTGGATACATCCTTATATGCTCCCGGCAACACACTGAACGTCAACTTTGCCTCCTTATTACACTCACCCCTACTTTAGTGGGAACAATGAGAATAAACGCAGATCATACTCTGGCTGCAGCCTTGACCGGCACTTGCTTTTGATCAAAGTCAATGCGGAAAACCCGCACTCACACAGGTAGGTGGAGGTGAAGGGAATGAGCACTTTTACAGCCTTTTTGGCGAGGTGGGGGGACTCGGTCTCCACAGACAGCCAAAAGTAGGCAAGTGTCACTTAACTCATCTTTTTCTCGTTATTTTTTGTCTCATGCTGTGCCTCCCCTGAAGCTCTCTGGCGCCCCCCAGGGGAGGCGCGCCTCACACTTTGAAAACCGCTGCTATAGACTATTGCAGTGTTTCTCAAAGTGGGGGGCGCAGAGGCATGACAGGGGGGGGCGCAAGAGACCAGGAGGAAAAACTGTTATGACAAAAAAATAAAAAAATTATTGATTCGAAAATAATATGCTACAGTACAGTACAAGTATGTCTGGGTCTCTGTGTTTCATTCAAGCTCGGCTCTGTGTGTGTGTGGAACGAGCCATTTTGTGTGCATGCGCGAGAGAGAGAGAGCGCACCGGTACCGCAGATCGTTGTTGTTAGCTTCTGGTGCTAGCGAGCTACGCTAACGGGTATAAGGAGCTTTTTCAACAACAAGGTGGAGGAGAGTCCTACATTTAGTCTAAGTTATCTCAGTGGGTCTCAAACGGTATGGTCACGGTTGATGTAAACAATTATTTCCAAGGCACACGTTTATATGATCATTATAGGAATAAATGAAAAACATGTATGATTGAGTGATTTGTAAAATATCCAAAAAGACAAAGAAAATCTGCTTACAGTTCTGTTTCATATGGGTGTTGAGAGATGTATCCATAGATCTCTTCATTTTGCTCTCAAAATGCACAAGATTGATGCATTTAACTTCAATATTTTTTTTAAATCTTTCCGGAGGGAGATTTTAATTGGAAACCCTAAATGTTTGAGCACCCTCTATGAAACGTCAAGCTACCCCACAGCACCCCCAAAAGAAAATCTCTGGTGCCGGCATTGAGCCTGCAACGCCGTTTTGAAGAAATGTGCAGTGCAAAACAGGCTCATTGCAGCCACCTATGATAAGACACACTTTTCTGCCAAATATCAGAATTTTCTTTCTTTTCATTTTTTTGCACAGATTACAAAGTGGCAAAGTATTATAACTTATTGTTATAGCAAAGGGATTGCACAATTGTATTTATTTTTTGAGCACACAGACTTATGGAGCATTGTTTTATTATCACTGTTCTAGCAAAGTGATTTTTTTGAAAGGAATGCTCACGTTCATATTGATGTATTTTAATAAATGTTATCTTGGCCCATTACGTGACTATTTGTGTTGGGGGGGCCCGACTATTTTTTTTCTTCAAAGGGGGGGCCTGACAGAAAAAGTTTGAGAACCACTGGACTATTGGTTCCTGAAAACTGAATGATATAGTTTCATTGGCTCTATATAAAACCATATATCAGGCTTTGATACACCATACATGTTATTAGTATAATAATAACAAATGCCTCGATTAGACTCCTTTGTTTACTTCTGTAACACAGAGACATCATCATGTATGGAAGGGAAATCTATTGAATGTTGACCAATCACAACAGAGCCAGCCAGCTAACCAATCGGAGCAAACTGGGCTCTGGTTTCAGACTGAGGGTGAAAAGAGGTGCTGCAGCACGTAACATATACGTATGAGAAACAAAAAGAGCTTTTTGAAGCATTTGAGTATTATAGTAAGCTTTGACCTCAACTTTAGTTTAACAGCTTAGAAGATTGGCTTCAAACAAGCCTCAACCCAGGGCCGATGTTTGCCAAAGCTCTTTCTTTCAGTGTTTTCATTGCCATATGTGGTTTGTCATGTCTAAATGTTGACACACCTGAAACCCTTGTACCAGTTTCAGTTATTATTACCCATGTAGTTTGTGTATAGCCTAACGTTCTGTTTTTTATTTCGACATTATTATTTACACTCAGCTACCATAAAGTGCTGAACAAAACATGTAAGCATCATAAACATGTGTTTGCTACAGATTTTATATTCTGCAATATTTTATCCAATGGAGAAATCCCATTGATTTTTGGCGAGGGACCCCTGGCGATGCTTACTTCAACACGTTCTCACTCCCAACTCGTCCTATATTGACGTTGTGTAAGGATTCCTTGGTGTTACTTTCAAACACACTGAGAGACCCTTTCGCGTCGATTTTGAACTATCAGGGAGGTCCCATAGTAACACGTTCTCACTCCAAACTCGTCCTATATTGACGTTATCACCGCACCTCTATTTAAAGAGTAATATGTTTCAGTGACAGTTAGGTCTTTAGCATGTGTTAACCACAGACCTCTTTTCACTAACCAACAGGTTCAAAAATGTCTACTTATTTCCAGGCTTTAAGGACTCATTCCTGCACCACTCTATAGGCTAGCCCAGGGGTTTTCAAAGTGTGGGAAGGTGAGCCTCCCCTCAGAGAACATAAGAACAGCCGCGCCCCCCCTCCCAATTATTATTGCTATTATTATTATTATTATTATCATTGTTGTTGTTGCTATAATGCAGGGGTATTCAATTGCATTTCAAAGAGGTCCAGTAAGATAAAATGAAGACTGTTTCTCTCCTCTTGTCTCGTCTCTGTGTGTGTGTTTGAATCTATCGTGCTGGCTCACTGACTGCACCGATTTGATTGGCTGAGTAGCGTCACCTCCTTAAAACATTAAACAATAACTTTTTTAAACCTTTTTATCTTTATGTTTTAAACATATTGTATACAACTCCCCCACTACTTGGACTATTCCTTGCACCCTTCTAGAATAAGCCCGAATGGTCTCAACCATATTGCATCAGTAACGTGCACTTTGTTGTTATCGTTATAACAAGATCGCAAGGACACTGGTAGCGATCGGACAATTGAGTGTTGTTCAGTTTGTGTGTTGTGGAACATGCGTGTCCGTGCATGAAAATATACCACACACCCAATTACAATAGCATGTTCAATTCACTACCCTGGAAGTTAATAAAGTTGTTAAAGTTGGAACAGCCTGTGGACAGCCGTTCTTCCTTGCATGTCAGTCGCCGACACCTTCTTACAGAGGACAGGCAAATCTAGCCGCAGCTCGACCCGTATATTTTCGCACGCCGTGTTCTCAACACATATATATATTTTTTTTTTAACATTTTCAACATCGTGGATAAATCCTTATATGTTCCCGGCAACACACTGAACGTCAATTTTGCCTCCTTATTACACTCACCCCTACTTTAGTGGGAACAATGAGTCTGCGTCTTTGATGCACACAGGAGTAAACGCAGATCATACTCGGCACTTGATTTTGATCAAAGTCCATGCGGACAACCCGCACTCACACAGGTGGGTGGAGGTGAAGGGAATGAGCACTTTTACAGCCTTTTTGGCGAGGTGGGGGAACTCGGTCTCCACAGACAGCCAAAAGTGGGCAAGTGTCACTTTTCTCATCTTTTCTCGTTATTTTTTATCTCACGCTGCGCCTCCCCTGAAGCTCTCTGGCGCCCCCCAGGGGAGGCGCGCCTCACACTTTGAAAACCGCTGGTCTAAAGGGTTCTGGTTGTCTTTAACGACTGATTCTAGAATGTGTAGTTTGTTGAGGAGATCATTTTGGGCCGAATTCAGTGTAACGCTACTATACAGGTTTTCAAAGTGTGTTTTCCAAATGTCCCCATTTTGAATAGCCAGTTCTTCCTTGTGTGGTTTGCTGAAAGAGTGCCATCTCTTCCAGAAATGATTTGAGTCAATGGACTCTTCAATGATTTCAAGTTGGTGCTGCGCATGTTGCTCCCTTTTAGTTCTGAGTGTTCTTCTGTATAGTTTCAGTGTTTCCCAATATTGGAGGCGAAGCTCAGGATTGTCAGTGTACTGTTCTCGTTTCAATGTATGGATATTGAAACTTAACAGCCAGCTAAACTCTCCTCAGCATCATTCCTCCAAGGAACAGGCAGGTGTTGTATTTGGCAGGGATTTTAATGATAAGAAGTGTGAAACTGAAACAAAATACATTTCTCCATAAGTACACATAAAACAATGATATGTTCTTAACATTTACAGAATAAATGTACTTTTTACAAGAACAGGTTATTGCAGGTAAATATGCAATTCAACATTACACAGCATTACGTAACACACTATAACACAGCAACAAGTTCTTACACAAATAATAATTATCCTTACTACAAAATTATATTACCACAAATAATATCAAACACTTGTAGCTAAGATAATAATTAGTAACTTGACTTACTGATAATGCCACGTTTTGGGCTTAGAACGAAGGATGGATGGGGATTCTGCAGTGAGTGCTCCCATTACATGCTTATTGCATTAGTGTCCATGTGTAAAAGGACTTCCTGGAACTTAAGGAAGTGGTCATAGCCACAAAGGAAGTGCCATCTCTTTCAAAGTACATTTCAAAATAAAAGCTGCCTTCTAACTGCTAATACATTCCTATTTGTGTTCCATGACACTCCCCGTCTGGCGTCATTAATGATGCCACATTTAGCTACTTCCTCTCTTCTCTTTCCTGTTACTCCCCAGAAGCCAGGAGAAGCACAAGGTCCGAGATAGGCCTTGTGTATGTCTCTTTTAGGTTGGTGAGAAGACACTTTTAATGATTATATGCTCTGCTTTTTTGATCTCAGCAATAGTGGGACCTGTTGGGCAGATATGCCGTCCCCTGCAGCTGGGGTTGTCTGATTGTTTGCTGAAACCTTGTGCAATGTGACAGAGACGAGCTGTGCTCTTCGTTAGAGAACTCCACGATGAGAACCGTTCAAAACGTTTTGTGCCAAGCTCCTTTACTGAGACGTTGGTGGAACAAGCCGTAACTATTGGACGGATCTCTACATCTGAATCTGGATCGACCACTTCGAACTGAGGATTGTTGTCAGATGTAGAGTTCTCAGGCTCCAGGAGAAACGATGGTCCAGACAGCCAGTTGACACTTTGCAGTTGACCTGCAGAAACAGACCGTGTCCCATGATCTGCAGGATTGTTGTCAGTGGCAACATACTTCCACTGACTTGGGCAAGTTGACTGTCTTATACGTTGCACCCTGTTGTGCACATACACATAGAACCTTCGTGAGTCATTGCAGATATATCCTAAGACAACTTTGCTATCAGTATATAATGTCACTTTGTCCAGCTTCTGCCCTATTTCTTCTTTGACAAACTCTGCAACCTCTACTGCCAGTACTGCTGCACAGAGTTCTAGTCTGGGAATAGTTGGTTCTGATGAAGGTGCAAGTTGATAGTCGTTCTCAGTTCTCTGGAAGACTGTCTGGCCGAAACGTTCCTCTGCTTCACGATTCTTTGGATTTAGCATATGAGACCAGTCTGGAGTGACCTGTGGGCAGCCCAGGTTGAAGTTCTCCTTGACTCTGACTAGACTCTCACAGGGTGTCAAATGGCTTGGTCGACCATTCTCAAGGATACAGGTTTTCAGAGTGCTGACCTCTTTTTTCTTGTGTGCACCACCAAGGCACACATCACCTACAATGACCCATCCAAGATCCAGTTTTTGTGCATACGGAGCATCATAAGGACCATTAAACTGTTTCCGGACTTTGTGGACTTGTAGAATGTCCCGTCCCAGGAGTAACAGGATATCTGCATTGTCATCAAGTGCTGGTAGTTCATTAGCTATGGCCCGCATGTGGCTGTGGTGATATGCGGCTTCAGGAGTAGGAATTTCTTCTCTATTGTTCGGCAGCTGATTGCACTCTGTAAGAGTTGGGAGAGGGATGCTTGTCTTTCCGTCGAGTGACTCCACAATGAACCCTTGAGCTCTTTTACCGGATACATCAACAACCCCTGCACAGGTTCTTAAGACATATGGTGCTGGCATTCCCTGAACGTTAAACACATCAAAGAATTCCGTCCTGGCTAATGAGACATTACTTTGGTCATCCAAAATGGCATACATTCTCTTACTTTCTTCACGACGATCACATGGGTATACATTTATCAGACATATCTTAGAACATGACTTTCTACTGAAACTGTCTCCACAGACTTGTGTGCACATTGGTTGTGCGACTTGGTTAGATAAGTGCGCGAAGGAAGTTACCTGCTCCCCGCCATGTTCTTTATAGGGACCTGATGGCTTTGGTAGGTGTGGAGCACGACCTGGATGAAGTGCTGTTAAATGTCTCTCACTTTCACACTCTGCACATTTTACCACTATTTCGCAGTTCTTGGCCTGATGAGAAGTTGAGGCACAACAGCGAAAACATATGCCATTTTCTTTAAGTAATTTCTTCCTATCCTCAAGAAGCATGGCTCTGAAACTCTTGCATTTCCCAAGTGCGTGAGGTTTCTTGTGTATGGGGCATATTTTTCCAGGATCTTCTGATGATGTCTCTGCATTGTTGGCAATTTCGATGGACACACTGGTTTTATGCACTGTGACAGGGTATTTGCAAATGGGCTTTCCTACTGGTCTTTCCTTTATCAAAGGTGTAGTAGAGACTGTGGTATTGAAGCTGGGGTCGTTCCTACTCTTGGCCTCACGTTGTATGAACTGAGAAAAAATGGAGAAAGGTGGAAAGGCTACTCCATGTTCTTCTTTGTATCTGGAACCTACAGACATCCACTTTTCCTGCAGATGAAAGGGCAGCTTGTCTACAATAGGACCCACACCTCTTGCTGTGTCCAAGAATGTCAAGCCAGGTAGGTATCCATCCTCTTTGGCTGCTTGTAGTTCAAAGAGCAGGTCACCAAGCTCACGGAGCTTGTGGTTCTCTTTATTAGAAATCCTTGGAAAGTTTTCTATTTTAGAAAACAGAGCACTCTCGATGGCTTCAGGTGAGCCGTAACTTTCCTCCAGCCTTGACCAAATCATTTTAAGGCCGACCAATGGGTGTCTGACATTGACTGATTTGAGTCGACGTGCTTGTTTGCTTGACTCTGGCCCCAACCATTTTATGAGTAAGTCAAGTTGTTCATGAGCAGAAAGATCCAGACCCTCCACAGAGCTGTTGAACGTTGACTTCCACCCGAGGTAATTTTCCGGCTGATCATCAAATTTTGTCAATCCGCCTAGCACCAGCTGGCTTTTGGCTAGAAATTTGGCAAGTTCTGACATTTATTTTCTTTGATCTGGGTAATAATGAGAATATGAGCGGTTTTGATTGAGAGCTTGTTCATTATCATGAAATGGTGTAACAGTCTGATGCTGGTCTCCATAAAAACTGCCCTGAAGTTGGTCCTGGTGGTGTGATTTAGAATGCTGTTGGTTGCTTTGCTGTAAGCCAAGATGCTCTCTGCTGAAAGGGTTTGCGTCAGGATGCTCATGATGAACCTGATACGGGCTGAACTTATGCTCTAGAGAACGTGTGTCAGACTGTAGCCCCATATGACGTGAGTCGGACTGTAGTCCCTGTTGACATGAATCAGACTGCTGCTCTAGAAGACGTGAGTCAGACTGTAGTCCCTGTTGACGTGGGTCAGACTGTTGCTCTAGACGACGTGAGTCAGACTGCTGTTCTAGAAGACGTGAGTCAGACTGCTGCTGTAGATGACATGAGTCAGACTGCTGCTCTAGAAGACGTGAATCAGACTGTAGTCCCTGTTGACGTGAGTCAGACTGTAGTCCCTGTTGACGTGGGTCAGACTGTTGCTCTAGACGACGTGAGTCAGACTGCTGTTCTAGAAGACGTGAGTCAGACTGTTGTTCTAGACGACGTGAGTCAGACTGTTGCTCTAGACGACGTGAGTCAGACTGCTGTTCTAGAAGACGTGAGTCAGACTGCTGTTCTAGAAGACGTGAGTCAGACTGTAGTCCCTGTTGACGTGAGTCAGACTGTTGCTCTAGACGACGTGAGTCAGACTGCTGTTCTAGAAGACGTGAGTCAGACTGTAGTCCCTGTTGACGTGAGTCAGACTGGTGCTCTAGACGACAAGAGTCAGACTGCTGTTCTAGAAGACGTGAGTCAGACTGTAGTCCCTGTTGACGTGAGTCAGACTGTTGCTCTAGACGACGTGAGTCAGACTGCTGTTCTAGAAGACGTGAGTCAGACTGTAGTCCCTGTTGACGTGAGTCAGACTGTTGCTCTAGACGACGTGAGTCAGACTGCTGCTCTAGAAGACGTGAGTCAGACTGTTGCTCTAGACGACGTGAGTCAGACTGCTGCTCTAGACGACGTGAGTCAGACTGCTGCTCTAGACGACGTGAGTCAGACTGCTGTTCTAGACGACGTGAGTCAGACTGTAGTCCCTGTTGACGTGAGTCAGACTGTTGCTCTAGACGACGTGAGTCAGACTGCTGCTCTAGAAGACGTGGGTCAGACTGTTGCTCTAGACCAGTGGTTCTCAACTGGTTAGGCCTCGGGACCCACTTTTTACTTGGTCAATACATCGCGACCCAACATTTTGAAGCACTCAAATCTATTCAACAAAAAATCGTGCTGTAATATATACGCTTTTCAGAATACAATATTAATAAAAGTGAAGTACAGTGCATATATCCCTTCACAGAACTAAAGTATGCTTTTAAACAAGGTTTAATGAGATGATGGAATCAAAGCTGAACTATATAAAAAGGCACACATGCTGAAAACCCAACCCCAGCAGGGGGGTCTGGGGGGATTCTCCCCCAGGAGATTTTTAGAAATACTAACATAAACTACGCATTCTGGTACACTCTGAGAAGAAAATAAATAAATCTATTACTACCGGACATATTAATAATATTTTATGCCATTGTTTGTTTTTCACTTAGTTCTGACATCTTGCTGCGAGAAGAGGAGATAGTCTGTGTGATTTACTTTAAATTGTGGGTAAGGGTAGATAGCTCCCATTGTTCTGTGACCTGTCAATCATCAAACCGGGGGTCATATTTCATTATGTGTTCATTTTTATCTGAAGTTGTACCCATAGATGTATAAAGAATAGTTCTACCTCAGTTATTCTCCGTGGGGACTTCCGCCAACAATCTTGATTCTGATTGGCCAGAAGACTCGAAAAAAACATCAGCAGAGATGTTTTATTGAGAAGATGATCACTACGTGACAGAAGTTTTCAAAACCATTTATGGTCTCCGGTACTTCCAGTCCAACGCCTACTGAATAGAGTGGCGAAGTCCCTCCCACTTACTTCCGGGGTATGGGACCTTATTCCGGAAAAGTTATGCATTGAAGTCAATGGGGAGAGAAAACTTATCTTTCGATCCCGTTTGAATTGTGCCATGAATTACACATATGATGTTTGTCAATCTTAAAAAATCATTTCCATGTCAAAAAAGTCACAGTTTGTCGTAAAACTGTTGAAATATAAGACTATGAAAAATACGTAACTAGAAAGACTACAAATCCCAGAGTCGCGTAAGTGATGTCACAATTGTTTACCTCCACCATTCAGATACCTAAGATCAGCGCAATATAGATATAATCTATCTATATGGCGCTGGCTAAGATAAGATAACTTTAACAAGATGCCTGTGTGCTTAGTACCAGGTTGTTATTATACCAGCAATGGGTCTTGCTCGTTCTTTTGCTTCCCGTCTGATGAAACGACCAGGAGTGGCTTGATCAAGTTAGCTACCTAGCTAGTAGCTAGCACGTTAGTTAGCATTACAGCCTTGTCATTTTTATTAGCCTTAACATGAAGTAACATTAAGTAACCCAAAATGTTAAACAGTAAGAGTAGTAGTCATATTTCGTGAACCCTTTGAATAGTACTGTCACCGGTGTGATCATTCTATAATACACCATTTAATTCCGGGGGAGAAATGCTAACGCTAACGTTAGCATCGGCGATCTTTTCTACTTCATGCTATCTGCACAAATGGTTGACATTAAACATTAAAACGACCAGGCAGTTCAGAGAGAATCAAAGGAAGGCAGGCTTTGCATGACATTCTTCAGGACGTGTTTCATTGTGGTGATAGTCAATCGTTTGTTGACAAGACAGTAGTGACGGCCATCTTGGTGACGTGTGTGGTTGACCAGAGATGTAGTTCATTGAGCCTTTCACACAAACAAATGTGTTACTTCACAGTTTTACGACACATTTTAATTTTTTTGACTTGCAAAATTATCTTTTAAATTGACAAACATCATATGTGTAATTCGTGGCACAATTCAAACGGGATCGAAAGATAATCTTTCTCTCTCCATTGACTTCAATGCATAACTTTTCCGAAATAAGGTCCCATGGGGCTCAACCGGAAGGGGAGGGACTTCGCCACTCTATGCACAGCGTTAGAAAATCGGTCCTTCAAAATAAAAGTTTGCATTTTTTCCCAAAAAAAAAAAAAAAAAAATTGCAATTTTTTTTTCAACTTTTTTTTCTTCACTCACACATCCGCGACCCACTTGAAACGGGTCCGCGACCCACTTTTGGGTCGCGACCCACCAGTTGAGAACCACTGCTCTAGACGACGTGAGTCAGACTGCTGCTCTAGACGACGTGAGTCAGACTGTTGCTCTAGACGACGTGAGTCAGACTGTAGTCCCTGTTGACTTGAGTCAGACTGCTGCTCTAGACGACGTGAGTCAGACTGCTGTTCTAGAAGACGTGAGTCAGACTGTAGTCCCTGTTGACGTGGGTCAGACTGTTGCTCTAGACGACGTGAGTCAGACTGCTGTTCTAGAAGACGTGAGTCAGACTGTTGCTCTAGACGACGTGAGTCAGACTGCTGTTCTAGAAGACGTGAGTCAGACTGTAGTCCCTGTTGACGTGGGTCAGACTGTTGCTCTAGACGACGTGAGTCAGACTCATGCTTGACTGTTGGGTTAACATTTATAGTTGTGTGTTGAGCTATATATTCACTGACTTTCTGATGTGAACTTATCTGAGGAGTCAAGGACTCTATCTCTTCCACACTACTTCGGGAGCCTAACTCAGCAGCAGCAGCTTCCATGACCAGTGCTTTAGCGAGTGCTGACTCTGCTTCTTTCTCATGCTGAAGAGCATCCATTCTCACTTCGATACGAGCTTTCTCAATTTTTATATCCATTTCTCGTTGTGAAAAGGCTGCCCTAGCCTGAGCGTGAGGATTTAGCAAGGCGGGCGGATTTACTACTGTGGGATACATGAGAACGTGTTTTAAGACTTTCCTTGTCCGATGTTGATTTCAACTCATCCTCCATGATGTTGAATTACAATAACTTGTTGTAAGCAGTATGTGTCTGGGCTGTATGACTTTGGATATGCAGCAAGCAGAGCATCATACTCACATAAATCCACATCTATATCCAGTTCTTCTGTAATGTAGCTATCATTTCACTGTACTGTTCTCGTTTCAATGTATGGATATTGAAACTTAACAGCCAGCTAAACTCTCCTCAGCATCATTCCTCCAAGGAACAGGCAGGTGTTGTATTTGGCAGGGATTTTAATGGTAAGAAGTGTGAAACTGAAACAAAATACATTTCTCCATAAGTACACATAAAACAATGATATGTTCTTAACATTTACAGAATAAATGTACTTTTTACAAGAACAGGTTATTGCAGGTAAATATGCAATTCAACATTACACAGCATTACGTAACACACTATAACACAGCAACAAGTTCTTACACAAATAATAATTATCCTTACTACAAAATTATATTACCACAAATAATATCAAACACTTGTAGCTAAGATAATAATTAGTAACTTGACTTACTGATAATGCCACGTTTTGGGCTTAGAACGAAGGATGGATGGGGATTCTGCAGTGAGTGCTCCCATTACATGCTTATTGCATTAGTGTCTCTAGCCTCGTCTCAATACCCCTCCTCGACTCCTCCTTTCCCTCACTCGCGTCCCTTCCTTGCGTCTTAGCTCCGCCTCCGTAAGATGCGAGCTAGAGACACGAGGAGGTGACGCGAGGACAGAGGAGTCCTCAGGTATTAATTGGGATGTCCTCGTTCACTCAAACGTCACTCTTAAACGACGTCTGTTAATGATGACATGTGCACAGCTGTATCCCCTCTCATCGGGCTTAACTGAATAACCCTTTAGAACCGGCCCATTTATTGTTAAATATGTATTTAAATGATGAATCTGTCTCTTTTTAGTCAAGGAATTCAATGAATGATGGTTGGTCCTGCTTTTGTGTTCCGTTTTGGTGTAAAATGTACATTTCAATAAAATTATAATTATAATAATGTGAAAGCTTTTACTCTGAAAATGTGTGTCCTGTAGATCCCCACATTCACCACAAACCCACATTCAGGACTGTGAATTTTAAATAATTTAACTCCTGAATATCTTAACACAAAACAAAACAAATAATTTGTATTTATCAAGATCTAGCCATTTATGAAATAGCTTTCTTAATAACTATGTTTTAGTGACGTTCAAGATCATTAAACATGACTTAAATTGTTAGTATAACCTTAACACATAATAATTCCCACGGAGCTGTGAGCACTTATACATTTATGTGACGCTTTTCCACTCATTCTTCCAGTTCTCCGTTTTCCTGTGTTGAAATCGACCAGCTGTGAAGGTGGGGGCGGGGCTTTTATACGCGAGTAGTGAAAACACTTCCGCGTAGTCTGCTCTCGTGTATCCTCCCTTTCGTCTCCTCCCGCGCCCCTCCTCCCTCACCCCTCCTCGACTCCGTGTGCATTTCAGCTATTGGGACGTCCTTCAAAATGGCGTGTCTTGATCGATTTCCGGGTCAAGTCCCGGAGGAGGGGAAGAGAGGAGTCGAGGAGGGGTATTGGGATGAGGCTCATGTGTAAAAGGACTTCCTGGAACTTAAGGAAGTGGTCATAGCCACAAAGGAAGTGCCATCTCTTTCAAAGTACATTTCAAAATAAAAGCTGCCTTCTAACTGCTAATACATTCCTATTTGTGTTCCATGACAGTCAGGTTGTCTGTGTTTTTGATTTGATAAACTTCTGAGGGTTTTTCTCAGATGTCTGCAGTCTGTATCAAAC